AGAGCCTCTATTACAGTAGAACGGGCCTGCTTTCTCAACTAATCGTAAAATGTACATTTAATTAGGATCGGATTGGGGTGCAGTCAGGGCGCTCTTTTCCACCAATGATTTCCTAGGCCGTAACCATCGGTGGGAACGGCTGCCCTGGTTCCGCTTGAAGTTGCGCAACTTCTCACACCCTATCGTTTGCAGTAAACATAACTACTTGCTACTACTTGCTTTTGAAGAAGGCGTGTCTACGGAATCGGGTGTGATACCGGAAGCAGCAGACAGTTGTGCCGATTCAGGCCGCGAGTGCTTTGACCTCCGTGCTGCCCTATGCACATGCTCTCTGCGTCTCTGGAACCGGCTGCTGTCCACCGCCACCGTCCTCCCATCTATGTAAGTAGACACACCCCTCCATCTCCTTGATATGGACCTCATATTAAACGTTTTGGTGCGATGGTAGTCTTTGACCGCTTGGTTCGTCTCTAAAGTGATCAGCGTCCATCAGTAGTACAATGTATTTCAGATATGATGATCAGTTACGTGCTACTGTTGATCTCCTTCATGTACCCCACTTTTGCTCAAGGATGCAAATATATTCGAGTTGGTTTGAGTTTACTCTTATTTCAATGGTATTTTCTCAAGTGATTTCTACGGCTGCGTTCATATTCGCGGCGCTCCACCGGTGACCGTTAGCGCTTCAAGCGTCCGTCAGCATCAGAGACTGGGGAACTATAGATGTCGACCTAGCGACCGTCACCTGTCTCGAGGGACTAGGAAAGTTTGGATATTGCTCTAGTATCTACCAGAGTCCACCAGCGATCAGGAGTAGAGTGGGGATTTAGGAGGGAGCAGACAGCAGGATTAGGCGTCATGAAATTGCGGCGTGTGCACTCGCACCGCACTACTACACAATACAGTACCCCTGGTCGCTAGTGGACGCTGGTGATCGCTGGTGAACGCCGGTAGACGCTAGATTGATCCATGCTTTTCCTAGTCCCTCGGGGCACTGATGGGCCTGGCGAACACTGTGGACGCTGATAGACGCTGGTGATTGCAGTTGGCGTGGCTATAGGCGCTGTGGCCCGGCGCTCAGTATATATACCATTTTCACTTTACATCGGACAC